TACATATACTATCAAACTCTCTTACATTTGCTATCAAACTCTTACATATACTATCAAACTCTCTCACATTTGCTATCAAACTCTCTCACATATACTATCAAACTCTCTCACATATACTATCAAACTCTCTTACATATACTATCAAACTCTCTCACATTTGCTATCAAACTCTCTTACATATACCATCAAACTCTCTCACATATACTATCAAACTCTCTCACATATACTATCAAACTCTCTCACATATACTATCAAACTCTCTCACATATACTATCAAACTCTCTCACATATACTATCAAACTCTCTTACGTTTACTATCAAACTCTCTCACATATACTATTAAACTCTCTTACATTTGCTATCAAACTCTCTTACATTTGCTATCAAACTCTCTCACGTTTACTATCAAACTCTCTTACGTTTGCTATCAAACTCTCTCACATATACTATCAAACTCTCTCACATTTACTATCAAAGTCTCTTACACATACTGTAAATACTCTCGTTAATTAGAATGGTTGTGTATTTGCGTCGGACCAGAGCAGAACTGCATCCAGTGAACATTAGGGGTCAGTCTCTCAGCTGTCTCCTATCTTTTCATCATCTCCAGTGGCTTTCACCAAGCCATTTATTTCTTCTGATTATTAGTTGTTGTGTTTTATAAAGAGCTTGCTGATTTTATGTTTTATTAAAACTTCCTCCCTCCAGGTCAATGTTAATGTCTGCATCATTGAGACGTGTTTTCAACCAAAGTTGCCAATTTTTGCTAGTGTAGATAAAGGAATGTTGATTGCTAAGGCAGCTAAAATTAAAGAAAATGTTTGTAAAACATATATTTATTAAATATGAGTAAGACTTAAATTTATCTTGTCTTTAGTGACATGTAACTATGGAAACGGTGGCTGCCAACACACATGTGATGACACAGACACAGGCCCGATATGTGGCTGCCACCAAAAGTACGCCCTGCATTCAGACAGCAGGACCTGCATCGGTAAGTGACCATTTTTACTCATTGTGGTGAAGAAAGTAACAGCCTAACCTTGGCCTCATAAGGTTTAAATGCTGAACTCAGAATAACACAGAGAGTTTGGCACAAACAGAGAAAACCAGCACTCCATTTTATAAAAACCTGGTTATTGGCTTATTTATCAAATATATTTGGTCAACAAAGATGACCAAAGTTCCATCAGCACTGCTTCTTGAGTTACAGTTAATGTTAGATTCTGGCTTTATCCACGTTATGTTTTGTATCTAACCAGCATTAGTTGTCACATTTTTTTTATAATTGGCATGATAAAAACTCCAGAACCACTTAACGTGGGTTTTCAAAATGAATTGATGGTTATTACTCTGGGTCTGTTTTGAAGACAATTATAAAACAAGTTATATAAAATATATTTCTGCAAACACTGGTCTTTTAAGTCCAAAAACAAGTGTTTTTTCCCCATTATTATCTTTTTTATTTGTCTTCTTTACAGAAAAGCATACACTTCATACAGCAAAGTGTTGTGACTATAGATTCATGCTATAGAGCCTGTTCAGTGACATCAGCAACATTTATTCTGGCATGATGGATGACAGTCAAAGCCTGCATTTACCAAAGTCGATCATGTAGATATTATTTTAGAGCGAGACCACCTCATCATAATAAAGATTGATTTAGACCAGATTGTGTGTCACCAGGATGCTGTCCCTCCTCCAGGTTTAGCTCACTGTCAAAACTGTGGAACCTACAGAGCAGGATACTAGGACCTTGCTTGTAGGATGGAGGCAGTGGACCTGTGGAGGTGTATTCATTGGGTAGCCTGGCCCTTACTAGCATCTTATTCAGCACATCAAAACGCCATTGGACAGGTTATTGAGAGGCAAGTTACTCAGGCAATTGAAGGCAGACACTTTGCATGTGATCCCCAACAAGGTGGGAGAACAAATGGTAGCTGATCCTCACTTTGTTCTTGATGAACATCTACTGCATCCTTTGCTGTGTCCAAAACAGCAGGCCGGGACGAAGGACGTCCCAAACTGAAGACTCCTCCGATGCGGCCGACAAATACGTCCTTCTTTTTCCCCGATTTGAAGGACAGGTCTGATGGATCCTTCTCGGCCCAGCATATCCCATAATGCATTGCGGCCCRACCGGAGATTTTTTTAAGCTGGTAATRGCAGATGAAGTGAGAGAAAAGAATACGTTTTAAATAAAAATATGGCGATATAAAAATTAAATTTTTTTAGCGGTTGTAATTCTAATACTTTTATCATTTGAATGGACATGTTTTTAAATATTATTTTTGTCATTAAACACGTGAAATAAACATGCACCTACAGCTGGTCAATTAGTTCTTCAAATGTTACCTTTAAGTTAATTTTATTGTTTTGTGATATTAATAATGCTAATATATAGATATTTTTCTATTTTTGATATATTTTTGCTTCTTTTTAGCGTCGTCACAGTTGCTAGGTGACATGACGTACGCCGGGGTAAGGCTAGACCATCCAAATTCACAGCCTCTTTTTTTCCGGTCTTCCCAGTCTACCAAGGACCCGGCCCAACCTCGACCRGGTAGTCTGGGTCCTCTGGAGGACCCGGCCTGTCGTTTTGGACACAGCCCTTGTCTCTTTTTTTCACTGGTGTCTTTTGGTTCTTGTCTACTTTGGCTGGTACTGGCAGCACACACATCCCTTGCCAGTCTTCACCACAGTTTCACCCAAGTGGAATAAACCTCTGGAACTTATCAGGACTGGGTTTGGCTCTGTTATTGGCGTGAGACCTATCTCCATTAAGGATGGACTTTGTAGATCACAGGGAAATAAACTCACATTTTAAATGGCTTYTTCACCACCCGTGCTTTGGATTTTATGTGACAGAAACCTGGCAGTGTTGGTGAGTCAAGCTCTTCTTTTTATTTTAATTTGACCCATAGACTGTACTTATTTTAACACAGAATTGAATTCAGTTTATTTATAAAGCACCAATATGGGATAAATTTTGTGCCAGCAGGAATTGAATTTGAATTGCTCAGATTAAATCTGAATGTGCATAATTTGAAATTGAATGCATTGGTTTGAAAATGAATTTTACTCAACTGAAACAGAATTTAATGATTTGAAACAGAATTTAAAGATTTGTATCTGAATTAATTTGCTTTGAAACTGTATTTTGGTCTATTAAACCTTCAGTTTGACTACTTTCACTTTCAGTTCCATAATTCAATTTCAGTTCCAAAATCCAGATTTTTGTGTCACATCCTGGTCCTTGAGAAAGCCAGCCAGAGTAATCAAACACAGATCCACAGATTTATGTTTCACTTTGGTGAAATTTCCCTTCTGTAATGTAACACAGTTGAAGCAATCCACCATAAAAGTAACAAAAACTGACAGTTATTTTATTGCACTGATTAATTTTACCTGTAGAAAATGTTACATTTACATCCCGTCATAGATCTGTCAGCAGCAGCATCTGATTAATATGTGATCCACGATGTGATGTAAATGTAACATTTTCTACCTATAGGTCAAATTAATCACTGCAATAAAATAATTTTGTCTGTTTTTGTCACTTTTATGGTGGATTGCATCAATTCTGTTACATTACAGAAGGGAAACTTCACCAAAGTGAAACATAAATCTTTGGATCTGTGTTTGATTASTCTGGCTGACTTTCTCAAGGACCAGGATGTGTGACACAAAAATCTGAATTATGGAACTGAAAGTGAAAGTAGTCAAACTAAATTTTTGATAAACCAAAATACAGTTTGAAAGAAAATTAATTCAGATACAAAACTAAACTCATTTTCAAACCAATGCATTCAATTTCAAATTATGCACACTCAGATTCAATCTGAGCAATTCATATTCAGTTCCTGCTGGCACAAGATTTATCCCATACAACAAGTCACAACAAATTTCGCTTTAGGGGATGGTACACAAGAAAACAAGGAGACTACTGGAAGTGGTGGAAGAGTCGCCGCTGTTTTTAAGATGTAGTACAAGCTCTCTTTGAGCATCAAAGTATTTTGCTGGTTTCAGCTTGCACTAGAGTGGTTAGYAGGTGATTGTGATGCAGTTCRAATAASCACCTCCAAACCTGAGTCCATGGTCGTCAGTCAGAAAAGGGTGGATTGATCTCCAGGTTAGGGGAGGAGTTAAAGTATCTTCAGTACAGACTTTGTGCCAGTCTGGTTTGTAAAGAGAGATTTTAGTTGTAAAGTGAAGCKCTCTGTTTCCTGGTTGATCTAYWTTCCTACCCTCACCTATGGSCAYGAAATTTGGATAGTGACTCATAGAACCAGATTGTGGATACAAGCGGTCAAATTRAATTTTCTTCACAGCGTGTCTGGACTCTCCCTTAGAGATAGAGTGAGAAGTCCAGTTATCCAGAAGAGACTCGGAGTAGAGCCGCTGCTCCTACACACTGAGAGRAGCCAGTTGAGGTGATTCAGGCATCTGGTAAGGATGCCTCCTTAAGGAGGTGCTTCAGGCATGTCCAACTGGGAGGTGACTCTGGAGAAGACCCAGGACACGCTGGAGAGACTGTCTCTTGATTTTGGCCTGGGGGTGCCTTGGAAACCTCCCAGAAGAGCAGGAAAAGGTTGCTAGGGAAAGAGAGGTCTGGGCTTCTCTGCTTAAAGGGATCTCCGATTAGTTGTAACATTAGACTTTATTTAATAAACATATATTTTAACTGTAAAATAAAGACTGTAAAAATACTGGAGGCTGTTTAGTTATTATAATTTTTTAACTAAAAGTTTAAAACTATATTATATGGACAGGGCCATTTTATTTACACACAAAGCATTCTGGGTAAATGATGATGTGGATAGGTCCTCGGTGTGAGCGAGCTATATCCACCCTGAAGGTTAATCTTGGACAATATCTGATGATCGACTCTTTTAAATGAAACCAGAGAGCGTTGACAGAGAGGAGAAGGTAGAAACAGTCCAGTCAACAACTAAAAATGTGGATGGAGGACAACAGAGCTGCTTCATGGAAGATGACCCTCAGCTTAGCCTGTAAGCCTTCGCGCTAGCACCAACGCTATAC